AGCTGGTTACACATTCTTTCGACATCTTGTGTTAATCGTTGGTCACTGAAAATCTCATTACATCCATCATGAATTTCACATCACTTCTTTGGAAGTTGTCATTCTCGTTGATCGTTAATGGATTAACAATTCAATGGAGGCAATCAGTGGAAATAAAATGAACGAATTTACTATGAAGAGATCTATATGAATATCTATTGATCCGAGAAGTAGATCAATTAAATTTAAGCAGAAATTCTCACATAATTTGAGAAAATGAACTGGCTCTGATGTGTGTTAAACAAATAGGATAGGCATTTTGCGATTGATGATTCACAGTTAGAATAGAAGAGATTAGAAATAATATCTTACGGATTATCAATACCACGGTCATCAATACAGTTGATGTTGTAATAAGCACGATGGTTGAAATAGCGATTGCTCAGTTGTTCCACTGCATTCTTTCGAAATGCCAAATAAAGCTGCCATGAGAAGAATATCACGAGTGCCAGCAGCTTAATTTCTTGACAAATATATTTCTCATAGTTCATGGAATTGCAGTTTGTTTCACGATAATTGTTTTTAAACGAGTGGCGATTGGTTGATTTTTGATTGAGGTGTGATGAATGAACGAAATGAGGATTAATAAAATAATCAGAACAGAAGAGAAAATCATAAAAGATCTCAAAGTATTTCCTCATCTTTGAAACCTATGTATGGGCAAGATTGAACATAAAATTCAGAAGGATGTATCCCGTGCAATTCGGTTTCATTTCTTGATAGACTGATCAGTTTCCGTCAGCATTTTGGTAAAATTGGTTCAATACTCTTATTGTTAGCTCTCCGTATAATTCTATTGCTTTGTTGGTTGACACAAATGAAGAAGAAGAGGTCTAAATGAGTATCTATGAGTCTGTAAGTCTAAAAGAAGAGCTCCAGTCATAACTGTCATCACTCAAAATGCCTGTATTGTACACAGGTTGTAGTTAGTGAACTGAAAAGTAGACTAACCGCGCAGTTTCCAACGTATTCAAATGAACCAACAAGAAACACGTGCTTGAATCTCGTCTGATTTTTGCTAGTTAAAGCTTGATACATATAACCGGGCACTTTACCGGTAAAATACGTCACCACCTCACCTGCAACAACCTCCAATCATAAATATTAGAACTCAATTGTGACAGTAGCCATTTTGTTTTTGTTGTCATATTGAATTGCGATCATGCATTTTTGAAGTCATTTGTTTTGCATGAAATCAATGGATGATAACTTTTGATTTGCGTCTTTCACACAAGCCTTATAGAGAATTTCATTATAATGATAGTATGCTGGGAGGTAGCGATGAACATTTTATGTTTTATGAACATGCAATGGTGACTCAAAGAATTCGGTACTAGTCAATCAACTGCTTTCCAGTAAGTGAAATGTACTTTCATTTAGCAAGGAAACAGAATCTGACGTGCAGAATTTACTGTTTTCCGAACGTGTGATCATGTTATTTTGATACACTTTTCCTTGTTTGATTTTTATAAGCAA